GATGCTTGGCCTGTTCTATAGGTTTTCATACCTCCAGCCTCCAGCTTGTGGTGACTTATTTAGCCCCTCTGGAGGCCATCCCCCACACATAGAACCAGAGCCTCTGAGTACCAGAGATTTGTCTAGAATTCCAGTGACCATGACAGCTTATCTAAAGGGGTACAGAAACCCAGAACTGTGAAGGCAGAAAGAAACTTACTGGTTCAAAGTCCCCTCACCCACTTGATCTTTGGGCCCTAGCTCTTCCAAAAAGCCTGGAGCATGAGTAAAGAAGCCAGGTGTTTTCTTTTATTTCGGCATCTTTCTCAGGAATCACAATGGATGATGGATAATTTGGATTAGTTTGGTGAACTGAAGTGAAGGTGCTCTTTGTCCTGAAATGCCTTAACTCTTTGGGATGCTCTTAGGGGGCTTTAATCTTCCCCATGGTTACTCATAAATTAGCACTTGACACATGTACAAAGCCCTGTTTATTTCTGCATCTAGGTTATGAGATTGATTTTATTTTTTATTTTAAATTAACTACAGATTCACAGGAAGTTGCAAATATAATACCTAGAGTCCCTATGCAGCCTTCATTTGATTTCTGCCAATAGTTGCATATTGTAACTATAGTACAATTTAAAAACTGGTAAATTGACATTGGTACTATATGTGTGCACAGTTCTTTTTTCATTTATCATATGTATAGTTTTGTGTAACCACCACCACTCCCAATGTATGCAATTATTTTTATTGCTGTAAAGCTATCTCTTGTAATATCATTTTGTGGTCAAGCCCACCCTCTACCATACCTCATCAACTCTAAAGCCTGGCAATCTCTGATTTGTTTTTCATCTATCATTTTTGTCATTTAGAAAATGTTCTCCATATGGAATCATAGAATGTGTGACTTCTGGAGGTGGGCCTTTTTACATCAGAATACTGTCATTGAGATCCATCCAAGTTCTTGAATGTGTCAATACTATATTCCTTTTTATTGCTGACTAGTATTCTATGGTATGGATATACCATAGTGTTTAACCATTTGCCTATTCAGGGAAATTTAGTTGTTTCTAGTTTGGAGCCATTACAAATAAAGAAGACTATTTATATTTAATGTAACTATTAAAATGTTAGGACAGAAGTCTGTCGTTTATTTTTTTGTACCTTATTCTTTTCCCTGTTTTTCATGTTTTATTTTCCCTTCCTACCTGTGCATTACTGAAATATTTGTTAAAGTTCTACTTTGATTTATCTATAGTATTTTAGTATATTTATCTGTATGAATTTTTTGTATAATTTTAGTTGCTTGGGGTATTACATTATATGCACATAACTCATGACAGGCAACTGGTGTTGAGATTTTACCAGGCTGAGTGAGTGTAGAGACCATAAGCCTTTTAAGTCTTAGTATCTTTAAAATTTTTAATTGTCTATGATTTATATCTATTATTTTCTTTATATACATGAAAAAAATATTTGGAAAATATTTTCCGAAGTCATTTTCACACACAGATGATCTAAAGTAAAAAGAGGCAAAATGAATTTAAGAAGCAAGTCAGTAGCTTGGCCAGCACTGGGGAGCTTGGCTTCCAGAATGTTCCCCTTCACTCTCTCCTCCTGCGAGCTCTTCTTCAGAGTTGATTATTCTTGGTAGCTGATCAGTCTTCAAGTTTTTGCAATAAACTACTCTAAGGAGATGCTGAACTTACCCTGGGAATGGAGACACAAGAGGTGGAGGTAATTACTCCAAATCACAGAGGCAAAACACAAGGGCAGAGGTCACACACATGGGTCACCTAGGTTATGCCTGGCTTTTAGAGAGGATGGTGACTGGGTTAGTAGTATAGGGTTTCATTTTTTTTTTTGAGGAAAGTGAAACCCCACAGTTTTCCTAGCAAGTATTTTTAGGCTTACCACAATTTCCAGGAACTAAAGATGCACGAGGTATTTTAGAGCATGAAGAAACTTCAACACCAAATGTTTTCTTTGACAGAGAAGAAACAAAACATAAAAAATGACTCCTAAATGATTTCTATCTCCATTCTTTGCTTCATCCTTACTACCAGAATTTCCTGGCTAACAAGATATCTATGTGAATATATCCCTATGGAAAACCAAAGCCCTCTGCCCATTGATATCTCAATCCTGGTGAAGTTAAATGCACTTAAAACCCCTTCCTGCCCTGGCTGGGTTGCTCAGCCAGGTTGGAGTGTTGTCTCATACATCAAAAGGTTATGAATTCAATTCCCAGTCAGGGCACATACCTAGGTTTGTGGGTTCAGTCCCTGGTCAGGATATGTATGGGAGACAACTAATTGATGTTTCTCACATTGGTGTTTCTATCTCTTTCCTTCTGTCTCATCCTCCCTCTCTCTCTAAAATCTAAATGTATCCTTGTATGACAATTAAAGAAAAAAAAACCTTCCTAAAACATGGCTGTAAAAGAAGAAAGCATAAAAAATCACCTAGATCAAGGCTGGCAAATAAATGTCATCTTGCATGCCAACCACTCAGTTGGCAGAAAATCAGGAGCATTGCTTTGGAGAAAGATTTTGAGGATGGCTGAAGTGAGAGAACTGTGCTATGATGAGGCAGATCAACAAAGATGAGTCAGTGAGTAGAGAGACAAATCCAGGGTGCAGGCCAAGATCCTTCCTAGGGGCAAAGGGAGATCTTTTTTTTTAAAATTCCTGGTTCTTTGTTGATCCTTTTGAATGAATAAGAAGGGAACTCTAATTCTAAGGTGATTCTATATTTCTTGGCTCAGAGATGAAATAGCTTAAATAGCAGGGAGTCTACCTTAAAGACATGTTCAAAGCCCAACATACTAGTAGTGGCTCCTGGCATGACATCTCACCAGGCACATCATAGACACAACTGCTTCATTCATCTTCAGAAGGGCTTCTAATTATTTCCAACATTAAACAAAGGGAAATATGTAAAGGATGATACTTAATGCTGGCAAGGATACAGTAAAATGGATTCTCTAAAATATTACTGGTAGATACATGAATGTACATAAACTTTTTATAAGGTAGTTGATATCATGTATAAAACATTATTTTTAAAAACACACCCTTTAACACAATATTTGCAATAATGGTGCTATACCAAGGAAATAATGCAACATATTTCAAAAATCTTAATCATTCAGGCTTTCATCACAAAACTGTTTCTATTAGTGAAAAACTGGGAACAAATTAAATGCTCAACAGTAACTTATAATGATGTGTATCTATGTTTATCTTGTGGATATTTGAAGTTATGGTTATTAAGACCATGTAACAACACAGGTTTCAAAGAAAGATGAAAATAAGATGAATGCTGTAATTTTAACTACATAAAAATATGCACAGAAAAATAACTAATAAGGAACTCTCTCAATAATATTGTTGGCTTACACTATAGAATTGTATATAATTTAAAGCTGCTACATTCAAAATTATGATGTGGTTTTTCACTTTTATAATGGAAAATATTTAATAAAGGGAACACTGAAAAGGAAATTGTTAATCTATGTCTTAGAAAGGCAATGGCTAAGCATTATAAAGGAAAATAAGCAATGAGGGTTGAAGAAATGAAGTACACTGTCTACTCTGGTTTATAATGTGAAAAAAGAAAGAAGCTAGTCCTACTGAACCCAGCATATCTCTCAGTGCTTTCATTTGACAGAACTTGTGCCAACACAGAAAATTCTTCATTAATTTTTTTTAAAGAAAGCTTTCCTAAAGATATCTTTCTTAATCCTTTTATGCAGTATGAATGTGTGAGTGAGTGGTGCAGCGAAAGTTCTCTGCTATTGTGAAGACTGACTCTACCCCTGTCATTTCTGCCAAAAGATCTAGTATAGAGAGGGACAGTGTCCAAAACAGTATTTCAGTTTTGAGATTTACAAAGCTTCAGTTCTTAGAGAAAACTGACTTCTATTGAGTACTTTGTGTGTTATTTGCTTTAGATGCACAACGACCCTTGGAACTGGGGTCGTATTATTCCCATCATGCAGATGAGGAAACCAAATCTAAGTAAGATGCCCAAGGAAATGGCAAGATGAAGAGCTTCCCAGAACCTAGATCTGGCCAACTGCTGAGTCTTTGACTTTCTCTCTGCCAAGCCAACCCTGCATACTACATGGTCTTGCTCTCCTAACTTCCTCAGCTAATGGCATTTCTGTCTGTCCACTTTCAGTGGGTTTTCCCACTGAAAGGTTGCACAAGTTGCACAGGGTAAGCCAAGCTTTTCCCCCATTGAACACAGACCCTGCACCAAACACAGTGCCTAGTAAGGTTACTTATTTGTTGAATACACCAAATATAGCCTTTCTTTTCTTACTTCCACAAGAGCCTGGAAAAGAACTGGACAGAATAAGATGGGAGTGAAACCTCTTTCATTCATAGTCAGGGGCTTGAGGTTTAGTCTACAGAGAGTTCCTAGAGCAAATTATGCAAACACAGATAAGAGAAAAAGATGACACTGCCTTGAGCCCAAGATATTATCAGTCAGTACTAAATGATAAAACCTGCCCATCTCTGTGCCCTAGTTTTGTTCCCTTCCAAGGCTAAATGTCCATCTGCTTCTAGCAACCCATGCTCTGAGATCCCTGATGTTTGAAGCTCTGACCCAAAACAGCTCCATAGAACAAGCTCTGCATTCGGAAGCTGGTGGGTAGTCCTGAACTCTATGATAATGACACTGAGAGTGTGCTACCACCATTAGCTGCCCAGGCCATGCGACAGTAGGCAGGAGAGTTCTGGAACAGAAGATGAAAAGCCTTTTCCTTACTCATGAACCTGTATGGGTGAATGTGCACATGCCATGCAGAGGAGACAATGGCAAAGAACTAAAGCCCTTTGGTCAACAAAATCACAAACCAAGATGGTAGGGAAAGGTGTTTTATGGGCTTGGCCGGAAGAAATATTGCAGTTAATGGGGCAATCTCTCAATTTTCTGTTGATACAGCCCATTGCCATCTCCCCTCCCTCCCTTTCCCCTTTATGCCTCAGGGTCAGGGTCCAAGGTCACCTCCAATCTTCCTGGGACTCCTTGGCCGTGGAGTTGGGTGAGACCAAACTGCCGAAGATGGCCTTTCTTGGTGTCATAGCCATGCTCTTGATTCTGTTCAGCTTGTCTCGGGCCTGTTGGCATTTTCTCAGGCAAGGCCCACACAGATCCTTGGCCTCCACCAGATATAAGTTTTCCAGCCTCTTGATGGAGTCTATGAATATGTCAGACTCCTCTGCCATGGGGAAGGGGTTTCGCTTTATGTTGAGCTTTTTTAGCTTGGGCAGCTTGGAGATGCTGTTGGGGATGCTGTTGAGCAGGTTGTCATGGAGTCCTACCTCATGGAGCTCCTTCAAGGCACCCAGCGTGGTCGGAACACTGTCCAGGTGGTTTAAGCCTAAATTCACAGTGCGGATGTTCTTGAGTTGGTTGAGTTCCACAGGCAGCCCGTTGGTGGTCAGCCTGTTGTTGCTGACATTGAGGTAGAGCAGAGAAGTCATCTGCCCAATGGACTCAGGGAGCTTGTCAATGTAGTTGCTGTGCAGGTCCAGCCACCGTAGGTTCTGGAACTTGGAGATTGAATCAGGGATCTTCTTGATCAAATTTCGGCTAAGATCAAGCTCATCTATATCACTGAGTCTCAGAATACACTTGGGGAAGTTGGTAATTCCCATTTTGCTCAAGTCAAGACGTTTTCTCCCATCAAATGTGATTTTGATACAATTCTTAGCCACCTTGAGGGTGATCTTCTTGCCCTTGGGGCCTTTTCCACTCTTGGCCATATTCTTTAGTAAAGGAGCATGTATGAAGTGTTTTGTTCTGGTTGGTTGGTGATCAGTTTGAGGAAAAGATCACATGAAACTATTAGAAAATATACTCTGATAAGAAGAAAAAATATCAAGTTAGGAGATGACATGAAGATACTGGATTCCCCCCAAATCATAATGCTTTTCTCTCTAATAACTTAAAATAAGAGAAAGAGGAGAGTGGAGAGAATAGGGCACCAACAGAAGTAACCTAGAAAAAGACCTTCAGCAAATTGAATGCCCTCTTTTCAGTGTTTCCAGATGTAAAGTGAGAGGTGCAAGTTGGCCTGAAAGATGCTCGGTGCCCATTTGGCTGTGTTATTTCCTGATTTATTATGAATCTCTCTATTGTCCTGAACTTTCAAATAACCCCTGTCTCTCTGCTCAGGGTACATGTATGTGTGTATGTGTGCTTTCTTGGATATTTGCCATTTCCTAGACCCTCATATAAATCTAGCCTTTACTTAGAGTTATCTCAAGATTCCTAGAGTGGGACTGCTGAGTTCTCAGAGATATCATAGCCTGGATATGAGGGGATAAGGAGAGAGTTAAGAATGACTTAACTGCCCTGCAGTTTCTGTACTTATGTCTTTTCTTCACCTTAAGTACCCAGGGGAACTAGTCAAGTTGTGGTTACTCTAACTGCCATGCAATGGGAACGGCACAGAAAAGTCTTCTGCTCTGCCCACAAGAAAGAGGATCTGCTTGTACCATTCCTGTTAGCAAGAAGGGGCCAGGGCTGAACTTAAGTGACTGGCAGAACTTAAAAGAGAATACTGCCCTTTTTAACTCCTGTCCCCTTCACTGCCCCATTCTTCACAGTGAAATTTAACTGTAGACACCTGTACACTGAAAGTATGCTGATGGTTATGGCTGTTACCATACAAAGAAGTAGAATGCACAGAGTGAGGGGTGGATTTTGGCCTCAGATGCTGACTTAGAAGTCCAGCTCTACCACACACAATGTTCTAGGTTTTCAGTGCTTTAGTTTACTCATTTGTGGAAGCACCCCTCTTATAGAGTTCCAAGAGAGTGGGGATTATCTAACTATAAAGCTGTCACAAACTAAAATCTCACTCATGAAGAAATAGACAACCCATAAAGACCTATACTTTAAAAAGACTGAATTTATAGTTGAAGAGCTCCCCCCACCACAACCCTAGGCCCAAATGGTTTTATTGGCAAATTTTACCAAACATTTAAAGATGACAATAACAATTTTACATGACCTTTTCCAGGAAATAGAAGAAGGAGCAATTCCTAACTTATTTTCTGAGACCAGCTTACCCTGATACTAAAATAACATATAGATAATGTAAAGAAAGAAAACTATAGGTCAATATTCCTGATGAACATAGACACAAAACACTTCAACAAAATTGGTAAATTGAATACAGCAATATATTGAAAAAAAACCCCACAATAACAAAGTGGGTATGCAAATTGATTGATTATTCAGTGATCAATGTAATATAGCATATTAGGTTCAAAAGAAAAAAGTACATGATTATATCAACTGATGCTGAAAAACGTGACAAAATTTAACATTTATTCATGACAAAAACTTTCAGCAAACCAGTAATATAAAGGCTTTTTCTTAACCCGATAAAGGGCTTTCACACACACACACACACACACACACACACACACACACACACACACCCTACAACCAAATCTTACTTGAAGACAGAGTAAATGCTTTTCCCTCTATGTTTAGAAACAAGTCAAGAAGGTAAACTATTGCTATTCCTATTTAATATTATAATGGAAATTGTAGCCAGTGCAATAATGCAAGAAAAATAAAAGACATACAGATAAGAAAAATTAAATAAAACTGACCCTACTCACAGATGACCTGGTTTGTCCACAGAGAGAATTTAAAGAAACACTCTTGAAACTAATTAATGGGTTTAACAAGGTCGCTGGTTAACATAACGTTAACACACAAAATCCCCACTGAATTTTTGTATCCTAGTAATAAAGAACTGAAAGCTGAAATTTGAAAAATGATAACGATTTAGAAATTAAAACACTTGTGTATTTCACCTAAGTTACAAAAATATGCAGGATTACTAGGGTAAAAGTTACAAAATATTGGTGAAAGAAAGTAAAAATATAGTTAAACATACCGTGACCGTGAGTTGGAAGAGTCAGTATAGATAAGATTTCAGCTCATCCCAAATTGGTCTAAAGATCAATGCAATTCCAATAAAAATTCCAACAGGATTATGTATATATATATGAATGAACAGATTCTAAAATTTATATTGAAAAGGAAAGGGACTATAAATCCATAACAACTTTTAAAAAGAAAAAATTGAAGGATTCATGCTTCCCAATTTTAAAACTTACCATGTAATTAAAATATGTGATATTGGCAAAGGGACAGATATCTAGATCAGTGAAACAGAAAGTAGAATCCAGAAATAGATCCACATAACTATGACCAATATAGTCTATCAGTTTTTGACAAAAGTTCAGAGAAAATTCAATGGAGAAACAATAAACTTTCAACAAATGTTGCTGGGGCAATTGGTTACCCATATGCAAACAAAATTGAATCTCAACCTAGTGAAATTACCTGAGATTAACTCAAAATTAATGATAGTTATGAATGTAAAATTTAAAACCATAAAACTTTTCAAAGAAAATGTAGGCGAAGATCTTTATGACTTTGAGTTAGGCAAAAGTACAATTCTTGAAGGAAATATTTACAAACTGGACGTCAACAAAATTTAAAATTTTTACTCTATTTAAAAAAACTGTTGATAATGAAAAACAAGCTATAGGCTAGAAGAAAATATTTGCAAACCACATATCCAACAAAGTACTAGTATTCAGAATCGATAAGAACTCAAGGTCAACAGTAAAAAAAGCAAACAGTGCAATTAAAAAATGCCCAAAAGATTTAATAAAACATTTTACCATAGAAGTTATATGGTTGGCAAATGAGCCCACAGAGAGTTGCGCAGCCTTATTAGTTACCAGGAAAGTGCTAATTAAAAATCACAATCAGATACCAGTATAGTTATTAGAATTTCTAAAATTAAAAAAAAAAAACATAAAGACCAGTGGTACAAAGATTTGACAGGGATGTAGAACAACTAAGAGTGCTCATAGATTGTTGTTGAGAATTTGAAACAGCACATTCACTTTGATAAAGCAGTGGCAATTTCTTATAAAATTAACCGTATACTTAAAACCCAGCATTTCCCCAACTAGGTATTTACCCTAGAAAAACAAAAGCTTATGTTCACACAAAAATGTGTTCATCTATGTTTATAGCTGCTCCAGTCATAATTGCAAAAACAGGAAAAAAATTGAGAGATCTTTCAGTGGATGGATGGATAAAGAAATTGTGGCACGTCTTGTAATGGTATACTATGAAGCATAAACAGGACAAATCTACTGATACATGCAACAACGTGGATGAATCTGAAAAGCATTTCACTTTGGCAAAGAAACCAATCTCAAAAGTGCACATAAGAGATAATTGTATTTATGTGACAAGGGAAAAGCCACAACTATAGATACAGATGACAGATGAGTGGTTGTCAGGAATGGGGATGGGGAAGGTTTGAGGGGAAGGAAGCAGCTATTGTGAGTAACTGGAGTGCTGGTACTACCTATGTCCTGACTGTGGTGGTGGGTAGGCAAAGCTGTACATATGTTAGAGCTCAAAGAACTGTCTACATAAAACAAGGCAATTTTATTGTAAGTAAATTTAAGTTTTAAAAAAAACTTAAAAATATTTGGAACTCTATATTCTATTTCTGTCTCTCATACCTCAATTGCTTGGTCAGCCCAATGTGGAAGTCTGTGACTTTTTTATGCCCATTTCCTTTAGCCCTGTTTGTGCCTTATAAAGGTCATCCAAATGTACACCATGTGGACTCTGCCATGGTATGTATGCATGTCTACCAAATGTATGCACACGTGCATGCTGTAGGAAACAGCTGCACACGTGGTGTGTCAGAAAAACTATCCTACTACACTTGAGTTAAAATTTAATTTAAAATAAGATGGATTGATTGGGGGAGCCTGTGTTGTGGTCATATATTTATCAACGACTTCTCCTCATGGTGGGTTGCCAGATTTAGCAAATAAAATTACAAAATTCCAGTTACATTTGAACTCGAGATAAGCAGTAGGTAGTTATTAGTATGCATATGTCCCACACATTGCTTAGCTCCATATTTTACAATATTTGGCAACTCTGTCCCATAGGCCTGAACAACTGGTAAAGTTTCCTTTGTCCATGATCCTAATTAGTCCTTTGGAACTAATTTAAGCCAAGTCAATGCTTATTCCTGCATTCCTTTGTTTGTTCATCCATTCAGTCAATATATGGAGAGTCTACTATGCATCAAGACTGTTGCACAGGTGGGCAATAAACATGGCCAGTCCCCAAGCTCAAAGAGCTAAAATCTAGATTGTTACTGATTCTGGCCATTAGATTCCCTGAGCACTCAAAGGCTAGGCTGTCTTTTGTGTCTCTTGCATTTAGCCAAAGTTCAGATTACGGAGGCCACGCACACCAAGCAATGGTTAGAGGGGCCATGTATGGGAAGGCTGCTTCCAGGAGACTGGAGATCCAGCCAGTTTAGCCTAGCTGAGCCTGCTCCCCACAGCCCATCAGCACCATGATAAGAAGACCTCCCAGCTCTGATGAATGATAGGGAGGAAGCAGCATGGAGCTATCTGCAGAGTACTTCTCCATTAAGGAGCTTCTCGCCCGCAAGAGCTTTGGCTCTGAGCCTGCTCATTAATCATTTGCACAACTAAGTAAGGGCTGGCTAGGATAATGCACTTTACTTCCTCCCCAATGTGTTTGGGTCTTCAGAAAGCCCCAGATCAGGTAGAGCATGATCAGTGCCCATCCCTCCATGCTTCTCCTAAGGGCCACCTTACCTGGCTGGGCCTCTTGCTTTGGGTTATGGAGGGCAAGGTATGTTGTGTTGCTCAGTGTCCATCCT